GGATAGGTGCTTTGATCGAGCAGACCTTGAATACCTCCTGCTCCAAAGGAGGTGATTCCCACTTGAACCAGCCTACCAAGGGGATCTCTAACAAGTAAAGGACCTCCACTGTCACCCTGAAATCAAATGTCGTACATGCTCAGAACGTGTGGAGCGGTTTGCTTGCAAAGAGGTCGACAGGCGTGATGAGGCACATCGCCATGACCGGTTGTGGGCAGGGGTGAGATATGTAGCGTTGCTTTCAAACAAACTCACTGCAGAAGTGCGTCGGACCGCTGATTCACTTTTGCTAAGCTGTTCTACAGGGTGTAGTGCGAAAGTTCCACGTTGCAGCTACGCGCAGCAAGCTTATTTCCGAGCTAGCTCATTTCACATTCTACTGCATTTCTACTTCAAATAATGTCAGTCCTGGTGCGAGTGCCGCGCTTGTGACACCACATATAATGCAGTGGCTGCAAGATGGAACCCCTTAGTTGAATCTTCTCCCTGCCCACTGAAACTTCTGAAAATAAGGACCACCTCACATGACCATGAACCACTGCATTCGGAACGATATGAACTTAAGTCTAAAAAAGACGCGCTTCACGCTCGTCCTTTGAATGGAGCCAGGCTATAGTTGGCCGTTCTCAAGGCCTGCCCCCCCCCTTCCTATCCTTCCATTACTCTTCTATCCTTGGGAAAGGAGCAGAAATGAGGTAAGTAAAATGAAAATATACGACCAAAAGCCGCCGTCACCTTTAAATGGAGTACACAGCCACGCCTACCCCAGCTCAAACATTTGGACTATATATGCAGTCCTCTTCGCTACAGATGCTGGGGCATGTCAGGAGACTGGGGTCGGCGCGGGACCAGCCAATTTTCCATCAACTGTTGTCACTTACCCGCTTCAAGAGATTGGTGGAGGATTGACATGGACTGGCGCCGCGCCACCAATCCTTGAAGCGGGCAAATGACACGCGGTAAGCCTAGCCTGCCTCATTTAACGAGCGTGGAACGTGCCCTCAGGCTGCGTATGATCCGGTAAACTTTAAATCATCCTACCGGTGCGGTTCCGTGCAATTTCGAGCCAGCACAGAGCTGTTGCACTGATATTTTGGATGGCACCTCGCGCGTCACAGCTGACATATGCCCTCCGAAAATTTCAGATCTGAGGGCAATCCAGAGACAAGGTCGCAATGGACTGCGTTTTAGGAAGTGAACCAAGTTACTGACCGAGCACTGTTTTCTGAGGCGAATGATTGGACAGTCCGTAGATTCAGGATTGAGGTCCGTCACAATTGTTCAACTCTAATGCGTTCTGACTCACTAAATCTCAAATGACATGCAATCGATCGATGCGTTACTAGCGCATATTGCGTATTGTATTGATGCGCCCTTTCTCTATATCAAAAAAGAGGTGATTCCTCAACCTGAAGGTCGTCACAGTGACGTTCTATACATCAAAGTGGCAGGAGCCGTTCAAGGTTATGGTTAGCCTAAACAGGGCACATCATTGGTTGCACCTGGAATCCCCAACAGGGGGGAGGGGGAAGGGTCGTATTTGGCCGCCAGTAGAGCGGAGGGGGGGTCGTATTTGGGCTGAGAAAATTTATTTTGACAGCTGATTTTCTCGCTTCACGGACGTTGTAAAAGGGGAGGGGGTCGTACTTGCTCACTTGTTGGAAGGGGGGGGTCTTATTTACTTTCTGGCTTTTCTAGGAGCGGGGCCATAGTGGAACTTTTTCCATGCGTAGTATAAATCCCCCTCCCCTTCCCCCGCCCCCGCCCGACAGCAAAATTTTTGGGAAAAGATAGGGAAGTTTTCGGGAAATTTTAGAGAATCAGGTGAGGGAGGGGGTCGTATTGTCTCGCGGCTTTTCCTGTTTCACATGTGCTATTTACCCCTCCCCCTCCCCGCTCGACGGCTCGATTCGATGAGGAGGGACAGAGGGCCGGAGGGGGGTCGTACCAACCCCCTCCTCAAAAAAAAGGGGGGGGGGTCGTACGGACTCGACTAAAATCCCCAACCAATGATGTGCCCTGAGCCTAAATTGTTCAAGTGCAAGCATTTCCATATACAATGAATGAGTGGTGCTTTCTATGATGAAGCATCTCAGGAACTTTCCCATTCTTTGTCCATGTGCTTTAACACGTTGGGTTACGCAAACTTTCAGGGCGTGCTCCATAAGCCAGGTGTTTACTTTTCCTTTTTGCACCCCGTCCTTTTCTCCAGGGTCAAGCATCACGTCAAGCGAACTTGCCACGTCGGTGCACCCCTTCCAGGAGGACGTTTCGACCGCCCTCTCCTTACAGGCTACCGAGGCCAATGCCCACTTTCTGCGGTTGAGCATAGCCCACTGGACTTCCACTGAACTTCAATCATTCGAAATAGAAAAGCAGGATTTGTTCTTTCTGGACAGGGTCCACACGAAATACACGAAAGTTATGTTTTTGTTTCCATGACAGCTTCACATCACAACTAATGCTGAAGATTTTCAGTAAACGCAAGATTTCACCTTTCAATGAACATAGATTTAATCAGAAATAACGTAATAACGAAATAATAATAGCGGGAATCTGCATATTTGCTGTGTTCCTACTCTACCAGAAGTCCGCCCGCCGCGAATTTAGCTCCGAAAGCTTGTTTCATCTACAGTAAAATGGTCCCGCAGCTGTATAGCTCACATCCTCATTAACTATACATCCCACATTCCCGTGCAGGAACCTCGAAAGACTTTCAGTACACTTCTTCTAGTTGGGATAGCTAGGAATTGAAGCGCAGAGATGCTGATCATTCTCTCCCAGAATGTGCCACGCACCTGTCTTCCTTTGATAATCGTAACGCTATAAAGCCGTCATCCCGGCAGTTGAGTAGCCGGTCAAGGGTGGCGACGCGGCTGCAGCGCGTCACACTCGCGGCGATTAGCTGTTCCCAGCCTGATCTAGCAATTTTCTCCCTGGTTTTTCACGGTATTTTTCCCCAAGGTAAGTTGCGTTGTTGTCTATATGAAATATATGAAGACGTGAATTCTTGTGTTTTTGTTCTTGTAATGGTTTTTCACAATCTTTTCAGGTATTTGTTTAGATCGGTTCGTCCAGTTGTTCGCAAAAGTTAGAAAACTCAATCATAATTTGTCTCGTGAAGACAAGGAACAGCTAAGCTGAAAAAAAGCAGCCAAAAACAGTGAAAAGTAGGGAAATGACTAAACCAGGCCGGAAACGGCTGATCGCCGCACACAGTTCCTACGTACGCGGTCGCTGCTGCAGCCGCGTCTGCGGCCCTTGACGACCGCCCTAATCAACTGCTCGGATGGTGAATGCAGAAATATGGACCTATGGAATACGGGTGACAAAAACCAAACAACTCTCTGGCCGAGCTGACGAGCTCCTTGTCATACCTGAAGAAACTGTAGTTTCATGTTTTTTGAATTAATTTGTCATGCATTTTTAACACGACGGAGATCCGTCGCACCACGGCGAAACACAGAATGGCAGAGTTCCTTCTAGGTTGGCGTTGCTCTGCTAATTATTGAGAGCTGCACAGAGGACCCTCTCTTCCCAAGTTAAATTGACTCTACAATCGCAAATCTCGCGACAAGCCCTTGTCCCTGCTTCTCTCATCCCTGTTGTGTGCAAAAAGTGGAGGTCACTGGATTCACGAAAAGTTCTCGTACCGCAGCACTTGCATTCTCCCACCGGAGATTCTTACTCATTCCTCACAGGGGGGTATGAACGCATTTCACAACGCTGGGCTATAAAGGCTCCTTAATGGACCAGGCGTCATGAAGGGATTTCTTCGACACAGTGAAGAAGTGATCCGGAAATTTATGTAGCACTTACCTATATGCAATCCAAATCCTACGACGTAAGCTTCACCACTGGATGAGATCAGGCGCTGGTCGTTTCTCGTTCAAACACACAGGAGAAACGCCGTTTTTGAGCAGGGAACGCTTGCTCTAAAAATGGTCCTTTTGTTTTGAACACAGTGATAAACATAAACGAGTATATCATGGTGGCAGGACATGAATAGCTACAATGAGGAAGCCAAAAATAAAACTGTGCAGTTGAGATAGTCGCACTCACGATCAGTCCGGGTGGTATTAATGGGGTGAGCCCAACTGAGACTTTTTCACCACTCCTTTTCTTCCTGAATCTGTCACTGCGCGATCCCCATTGTTAGAGCAAGGAACCCGGAAGGCTTATCACACCCTTCTGGCAGTGCCCAGACTAACTGCGACGCTATCAACCATAGGTTCGTTGGGACAAGGTAAAGAAACTGATGACAACACCAATGGTACTGTTTTTTTGTTGATCTTAAGTGTGGCCCATGAAGAAGGGGATGGGCGTCATGAAGGGGACACACAATAAAGGGAGGAGAGAGCAGAAAGGAGAGAGCTCTAAATGCACGTATACAACATGCCAATCCATGGGTGGGGATTGCTGTGATGGACAGGCACCACCCTCGTTCTGGAGAAGAAAGTAGGGTTCTTAATGCTGCGTAATTCAAATCCCGGTCATTGGTGATCCCGGATCAACAATGCCTATTTCCAAGTGGTAGACATATTAGGTTGTCCGGAAAGTTCTCAGCGTTTTGGGTGTTTCACTTTAAACGATCGTAACTTTTTAATACTCATCGGATTTAATCGAAATAGGCACCATTCGAATCAGCACACTTTTGCCAATGTGACAGCAGTCGAGAAATCCCATCAAAGTAAAAAACTGGGTGGTCGAAAATTCACGAAATCCACTAAGGCTTTTTGCCTGGAAAGG